TGGTGGACTCACCACGGGACAACGTTTGCAGGGGGGACCACATCCAGCTACCAGGGTTGCCACCAAGATTCATGATCGATGGCATCCTGCTACCAAAATCGTCCGCTAACAAGGGATGGGGCTCTGCGGCCATAGCTGCCCAGGGCTTCCATCATGAATGTGATACGAACTAGAGAAAATGTATGTAGGGTTGCAAGGAACCGGAATGTTCACAGCTTGCTGGAGTGCTTACAACGCATGCATAGATGTTTCCACATAGATAGAGAAGTCTCATACAAAGCCAAATCAATATGAAATGAGAACCGGATAGCGCAGCTCATATTATCAAAGTCACATTATACAAAGAGTATCTCGAGTTCAAGAGTCCAGCGCCAAACAGATTACAAGTCTTTTTCAATCATTCGTCAATCAAGGGCCTCGCTCAGCCAGCGTCTTCCCTCAGATCACAAAAATGGCGCCAGCAGGTATGCATCCACCATATCCAACTCAACCTGTCTTTTCTCTCGCCCTCTCAAGATCTCTGTCCTGGTTTCCTCGTCTCACCATACATGCACACTCCTACCTACGAGAATCTACTTTGAATGCTTCTCACTGATATCCTAACACTAACCCTTCTACTACTAACATCAGCTGCTGCAGCTATGGCTTTCCTTGCAGCCAGCACCCAGCACTTCTTCCTTCCAGCGCAGCTCTCAAGCCAGCGCTCAGGGGTGCCACAAGTGCCACAGCACTTCCACGCAGCAATGCCAATGGGAAATCTGCCTTGTGGGGAGGCTGCCTCGTTTCTTATAGTGCTGGCCTCCCTTTGCGAGGTCTGAGTTCAGTCTTTCTTGGATCCTTTCCCAGTCCCAGCCTCTGTTGAGTGTGTCCCAGTTCCTTATCCTCAGGGGTCACTGCTGCTGCGGTCTTCAGGCCTTAATTTCGGACTTTCAATCTGTATCTAGACTCTTCTTTTGACTTGAATCTTGACTGGGACTTTATCTTTTTGTCTTCTTTTGAGCAGGCACACCTACTGCTCGAACAGACACACATACTGTAAAGAACAGACACATCTCTTGCATAAACAGACATGACCTGCACGCCCCCTGGATGAACAGATGTGACTCCTACCTACATTTGAATATTGCAACTGTTCGTCCAGGGGCACAACTGTGACCTTTGATATTGACTTTACTTTAGCTAGGGTGTGACTTTTGACCCAGATAACATGCCCTTTGATCTGCTTTCACGAGTTGGGCTCTGGGCGAGTGACCCCACTATGCTGCACTCGTCAGTCAGGGTCTGAATCGGGTAAAGGCCCTTTTAGGATACTTTTCAGCAGAAAAAAAAGCACTACTCAGACCTCAGTATCGTATGGTCAGTGTTGGCCAATATCAGAAGGATGATTTGGGCAGATGGGAGAAGAAACCGCAGGAATTCCCAGGACAGAAACAGAACACTGTGACAGCATATAGCTCACAAAAGGTAGCACTATGAGCACCTCATTACTACATTCTTAACCCGAAAAAAAACATACAGACGTTCTATTTGAATTACCTCTGGAAAACGGTTTTTCAGAAATCGCTTGTTTTTTTCCCGAATAGAACGTGCGTTAGAATATAACGTTCGTACGTACGTTGTATTCGAATACAACATACGTATGTGCTATTCAAATTCTTGCAATTTTGACTTTTCAAAAATAATCAGAAAAATGATAAAAAATCCGGAAAAAAAAAAAAAAGTTGTACAACAATGCAATACAAAGTATTACAAACAACTTTTGCCTGAGGGTCCTGTCGAGATTCGAAACCAAATTCGAGAAAAACAAATAAAAACGAGGATAAAAATATCTTTTTAGAGCAGGGACATTTGTGAGGAATGTGTCCTCAGCGGCCCTAGACCACATGCATATGTTCTGACTGTGGCCCCCAGCAAGCCTCGTGCCCGCCCTAAGTGAAGGCGGGCCTGAATATTCACGAGAGGCCCTTATCGCAGCATTTTCCAATGTGGGTCTCAGAGAGTTGCTGCACGCCAGTTGGTTGAAGTGCAACCTGGGCCTCACCCTGGCCTCTTCCAGAATAAGCAGCTGCGTCAGGCAGTTAAGCCCAGGCCGCAGGTGGTTGCGCCCTGGGCACATGCAGCGTGAGGCCGACACATCACGAAGTGGCTACGGGCCAATGAGAATGCAGCATTGTCGTCACATCTATCCCGCGGGCCAATGCGAGCACAGCAAACATTCGGAGCCTGGATAATCCTGGATGTGCCCAACTGTAAAGGGCCCAGGCCCTCAACTGTAGAAATGAGCCTGGGCGCAGACACTGGGGCCCGACCAGAAGCTACTGGAAGCTTCCACGGTCAGGCCCAGACAGGCCACCAGCAGCAAACATATCCCACATAGGGAGGAGGCCGGCCAGGCTCTGGCAATTCTGGCCTAGGCAGGCAATGCGGACACGCTGCTGCGCTAGCACACAAGTGTCTGCATTCGCATCGGCTGGCTGGGGCGCGCCCGGGCGCTGAGAGGTGAGGGGCGCTGCTGGGCAGCCGGGCGCTAGCGGCCATAGCCAGGCTGCAGGGCGCGAGGGCAGAAAAGGGCGACGGTGGTCTTCAGGAGGAGGCGCAAGTGTGGGTGGACAGGGGATGATGAGGAGAGACGAGAGTACGTACCTGGTGTATGTGGGAGGTCGGCATTGGTGTTGACATCATGTACATTGGTCTTCAAACTCGAAGTGTGCCTATTGCATGAATGCAGATAGGCTAGGTAGGACGAGTAGAGTACGCTGGGCGCTGGGCGCCACACAAGAGGAGCGACATTGAGTACTGCGTTGGTGTGGCCTGAGGGCTTGAACATTCGCTCACAAGTTCTTTGTATTGCTCTTATGTGGATGGAATCTTGGTGCGTTTGAGCTCTCTGCTTGTAAGATGACTATCAGGACTTCTGCGTGATTTTGCAAGTTGGTTTTCTGTATATTGCTCTCGGTCATATTCCTTGCACATTTCTGTTAACTGATTTTTTTTCAGACTTTCGATTTTCAAACAATTTCATAAAAAATCCGAAAAAAAAAAGTAAGTTGTACAAAATTGCAATGCAAACAACTTCTGCCTGAGGGTCTTGGCGAAATTCCCAACCAAATTCGAGAGCAAAAAAAAAAACAAAAACAATAGCGGTAGTACAGGCTTCTGAAACGTTGTTGCCTACCCTAAAAACTCATTATATAACGTCGGTACATACGTTGTATTCGTATACAACGTAAGGTACGTACGTTGTATTCGTATACAACGTAAGGTACGCACGTTGTAGTATGTCTCCCACAGTCAACAGGAACGGTAGCTAGACTGGTAGAGGTCACAGATAGAATCAGGCGGGCCTTAGAATGCTGAAGAGGCAGGTCTAGTGGATTGAGGGCGATGGTTGGTAGGTGGGGTTCTGATATCTGGGGCCCACTTCAGGGGGAAGACGCTTATTTTCATGTGATAGGTAGGTGTACAGCTCACTACCATCAGTTTCATGAGCTCCCCCGACTTCAACTTCATGAGGGACACAGGACCCCGCGGTTCCCAGCATGCGCTGTTTTACCTACCCAATGAATGATGTATCTCAGGGGATGCTGGACCCACTTTCCAGCAGGTGATAGCTCCCCGCCGATAAATTGGAGCCCCCTGCAAGACAGGTACGCGTGCATGCTCATATTATCACTCCTATCTGTTGACGCAGGATTTTTTTTATTTTTATTTTTTTTTTACCACTAGTACCTTTCCCGCGTGGGAAAATAGGCAAAACTGGCAGTTTTCCCAAACTCCTGAAGTTTCGAAGGTCGGGCCCGACGACGACTGCCATTGATAAATCTGATCGGCGGCCGTCATTTCATTTCGGCCTCTGAAAAGGTCGGACGCCTTTCCCAAGCGGCAAAGGTACTAGTGGTTTAATCAACACCTGAGGCAAGGGGAGGGAACACTGGAATCACTCCTTGGCTGCTGGGTCCCAGACCTCCACCTTAGCACTACTAGAGGAACAGTCGTAACATCATGAGAAAAAAGGGGGATGTAGTTTCCCTTCTTTTTTTTTTTGGATAAACCCCCACACACACTGCCCCTGGTGCCCCATCTATTCTGGGGAGCGTCAGTCCTTTTGCTCATCACCGCCAAGTAACTTCAGACTCACGTATCATAGCACCGCATTGGCAGTGTGTAACTCAGGACGGAGACTGGATAGCCATCATCGCCCTGTAACCCGTGGCAATGTGGGAGCGTCAGGCCAGGTGGAAGTGGCTGCTCAGGTCCTGCTTCGCCCCGCCGGGACACACCCAATAAAAGAATCCTCATGTTGAATTCTCAGTCGGAATCATCATAGCTAACATTCATGGTTTTATTACAATGGCTATTAGGGTTGTTGAGAACTTGAGACCCTCAATTTCACGGTACTTTTTTTTTTCTTTTCTTTTTTTTTTATAAACAAAACGAAACGCCCCATCTATGCTGGGGGGCAACAGTCCGGTTGCTTATTATCACTGGCAAGCAAAAATTCCGGTTACTTATCACCGGCAACTCGGCGGCAAGCATAGAGTTCAACAAAGAGAGGCGTAAACTCTCAACAACATACCTGTCGTAAC